CAGAAGAGAACAATACAACTTCTGACTCTACACAAGATCTCAATTCTCATACTACTACAGTATCATTTAATCCTTTTTAATAATACCTTCTGCAGAATACATGAATGCAGCCACCGCTTCTGAAATAATTATGTCCTCCACTTCTAGTGGGCCATTTTTAGAAGAGAATGATGTAAGTGGACAGGTGGTTAAGTCCATTTACGCGGAGGACCATTTATATGATGGTCAGACCCAACGTACAGGGCAAACTATGATATACTGCGCAGCTGTGAGAACCGAGCTTGAAATTGCGAGCAACTCTGCAGAAGTTTCCTTGTCCAAATCATTACCAATATCATCAAACTCCTATGATTTAGAAAAATGCTATAATAAATTCCTTATCTATTACAATCTTCTTTTACTAAGCAAACCACAAACTATTAATTCCTTTCTACAACACTTATGACAAAACAATGCCAACTACCTGGCTGACTATTTTTTCATTACTGTTAATAGTAATAAAACTGAAGCACATGTGTATCTACCACATAAATTTAACAAACTTCCAAACCATTATATGCTATCAACCTACGATTCATATAATATTCCTCTAAAATCACAATCGAATTCTCTTATTTTTCCACCAACTACTCACTTATCTACCACATCACCAATTACTTCTGATTTAAACTCTGAAGAACCTGACTATATACTAGCTGAATTACTCTCATTATTACAAGACCCTAACACCTTTTTTTAGGAGCTGGTTTAAAGGTGCCGCAATATTAATAAAGCTTCTAATGAACTTCTGGTAGTAGGATGCTAACCCCAAAAAGCCTCTAAGCTGCCGAATATTACGGGAGACAGGAAAATTTTGGACAGCCACAATTTTTTTTGAGTCAGGTGCAAATCCAGCTTGACTGACTACATAACCCAAGAACTTCAGCTTCTGTTTGGCAAAATTGCATTTAGTAGATTTCAACTTTAGGCTGGCGGAATTTAGTCGATGAAAGACTTCTTCCAGGTGAGTCAAATGCTCATCAAAATTCTTAGAATAGACGTTGATATCATCTAAATAAATGACTACACAAATGCTGATTAGGTCCTGGAAAATATAATCCATTAGCCATTGGAACATAGCAGGTGCATTGGCCAACCCGAAGGGCATAACATTGAATTGGAAGGTGCCAAAGGGAGTGGTAAAGGCAGTCTTGATTCGTTCGGACTCGTCAACTTCGACCTGCCAGTATCCATTAGCAAGGTCTAAAGAACTATACCAGCATGATCCGAATAGAGTGTCCAAAAGATCATCGATATGAGGGAGGAGATAATTATCGTTAATGGTGACGGTGTTCAGTTTCCAATAATTGACGCAGAATCTAGTACTCCCATCTTCTTTGGAGACTAGTACAACGAGAGAAGTCCAGGGACTTTGACAAGGGCGGATGATGCCAGATGAAATCATTTGGCTGATTTCTTCCTGAATGGTCTTTTTTTCAGAAAGAAGTGTCGATAGGGATATTGTTTGAATGGGAGAGCGTTGCCGGTGTTGATATGATGCTTTACAAAATTAGTTCAGCCTATTGGCCCTTTCTCCCAGGTAAAAAGATTTAGGTTATTACCTAGAAATTTCTGGAGCCGAAAATGTTGACCGGATACCAGACTTCCGATTTATAAGGGTCTGCCATTCTTTATAATAGTAATCAAAGAGATCACTAATGGGGATTCAATGGCAGGGGCATCAACAATACCTCCACGGGGGTCAGGCTTGATAGTTTCTTCCTTAAGGTAAGCATTTTTCACTTCATCATAATAACATTTGACATTAACAGGTTTATTCTTTCCTTTCTTTATTTTCGGCCTTCGGTTTTCTTCGTCAATCTCATCATTGGCATCAGAGTCAAAATCATCCGTCTTCACTTTTGATGTGCTAAAATCCTGGTAAGAATACCACTCATCTTCACTAGAACTATCTGAGTCGGGGTCATAATAAACTAACGGGGGTAGATTATCTAAATTAGGGGGAGGAACAAGAATTTCTCTACGTTGACAATCCCTAGAGGGCTGAACTGAAGAGGTAGAAGGTAAGGGGTCATGACGTTGAGCAAGGGGGAAATAGGGCTGCTTGTATGAGATGCTAGCGTGTTTACGGGAGAGATATCATCGTCTTTATTATTAGGGGATAGAGGTAGGAGGGGTAAGTTAAGAAGGGTATAATGTATGTTGATGGAGAAATCCAAAATCAGGGTATTGGGAGGGCTAGGTAAAGGTAAGCGATTATAGGTTTCATTTTCATCTATTTCAGAATATCTATAAATTCTATCTTCTAACTCCTCTTATTCATATTCCTCCTCACTATCCGCTCCCTTCTCTTCGACCTCCTCTTCTTCGAATTCCTTCTCGACGTCTCGAACCGTGATGGGGTGAGTATTACAAAGTGGGTGTGGGTGATCTTTGTGAATTCTATGGGAAGGGTAAGTTCCTTACCCTTCCAAGTAAAGGTCATTTCCGAGTCTACCCAGTCAATCCTAACTTGAGCTTTGGAAAGCCAATCGTTCCCAACAATGGCTTGATATGACCCGGCATCTGTTATGATGACATCAATAGGGATTTCTATTCCTCTGACCTTAAAGAGAAAGTTGGAGATCTCCTCTAAAGCTCTCTTACTCTCACCATGGACATTTATCATGTTCACCATGGAGGAACGTTCAACCTTGATACCGAGATCCCGAAGAAGATGCGACGAAACGATACTTTCTGATGAGCCGCTATCAACAATTAGGGGAATGGTGGCACCTAGAACCTGGGCATCACAATAAAGGGCAGTAGATTTTTTTCAGAGCTGATACTAATATTTACTTTTACTTTTCTTTTACTAGGGGCCTTTTTCTTTTGCAGACTCTGACCCAATTCGCCTTGTAACACTGGGTGATTTGAAAGAGTTGACCGTACGTAATATTAGCAGGCTTATCCTGGATATCTGTGACGATCGAGTAAGGAGAAACCAAGGATGCAATTTGGGGGAGTTTATCCTCTTGAACCTTCTTACGAACGATACGTTTAGGCTTCGTGGCTACAACCTTGGTGAGAACAACAGGGGTCCACAACTGCTTCAGGGAGGTCTATTGCCAGATCGGGAAAGTTGTCAACCTTTTCTTCTTTATCTGCTTCTTCCTCCATTAATTGTTCCAAAGTTTCCTCTTCTAATCCCTCCTCTTCTAATCCTTCTTTTCTTCGTTTCGTAGGGCGGAGATTTCTACTAAGTCGCTGAAGGTCCTGTTTAGCTGCAACAAATAAGGGAACGTCCTCCGCGAAGATACTGACATAAGTGTGGTGATTATTTTGACCCCTAGCAGGATTTAAACTAGCAGCCAAGGCTAACAAAGCCTGGAGGATCTCTTGCTGCCAATTCTCAGGTGCATCATTAGGTCCTAGATTTACAGGTATGGGCGGCGGTGAATGGAAAGGAGGATTAGCAGAGGCTTGAACAGGAGGTAGATTTAACTAGTTTTGAGGAACCAAATTAGGGGGGAAATTTGGTTGGGGATTTGCCATTCGACAATTCAACTAATATAGCCAGGCCAACCAGACCTATAGCACACAGGCCAGCTGGTATTTTCCAAAGTAGGTGGTCTTTGCTTCTGTAACTAAAGAAGCATCTTGTTGACAGCCTCAGTCAACTTTTCGATTGCCGACTCAGAGGTAAGTACCGGGGGTTGGATTCTAATGAAAGAGGATCGGGTGGAATATGCCAAATACAAGGCACTTAATGAAGTGGGAAGATAAGGAAGACTTTGACGGCAGGCACTCTCATATGAATTAGCACGTTCATAAGTGGCTTGAAGAGTGTTTGGGGTGGAGGGAGCAACGGCTAGGACAAATACGGGTCATAGACCATTAAGAAAAATTTGGGACTTAGCTGTTTCTGGGTACTGATGACCCCCAGATTCAACCTGTCTAAGAAGCTTCTGAATCGAAGTATAGTAGGCATCGACATCTTCATTTAATTGTTGCTTGCGGGTAGCAAGCTGGGCAAACCACTTCCCTTCTAACGTGAGGGTATGAAAATGGCTGATGAAAGTGGAACGAAAACTCTGGGCGGGGTTGGCGCCATTATTTCAAGTATTTACGGGATTAGGCAGTCTTTGAATAGTGGTCTACCAGGTTGTAGCAGACCCTTTCAGATGGGGAACAACAATGGCAATTTTTCGGTTATCATTGATTAAATTGGCTGCAAAAGCCTTCTCTACTTCGTCTAGCCAAGTCATGGGTCCTGGTCCACCCCTGCAAAGTCGGGGTAGGAAACTAGATTTAACTTCCGGTGAGAGACATTAATTTGGGTAGCTGGTGCAACCTGCATCTGTTGTATCAGCAATCCGATTTGAGTGGTCAAGTTATTGATGGGATTGTTTAGATTCGGCGGTTGGGCAGGGTTTAGTTGCTGTGGAAGGTTGGCAGGATTTTGTTGAGCCATTACTTTTTTCCGGGTTGAGGTGAGTTGTCTATTTACTTTTCTTAAAGTGGGATTCAGTTTGTTATGTTTTAGTAGAGGAGTTTTATAATAAACGTTTGAGAGAGATGAAAATTCGATTTCTCTGAAGGAGGAGGGGAAGATATTAGTTGATTGTTTTTATGATTTATTAGAAAAATGAATATTCAATGTCCACACAATTGGCACCAATTGTAACCGTTGTTGGGAGAGCAAAGTAAAATTATATGGGTAAGAGCCAATTTAACTCAATGGTGTACGTGGAGATGAATATAAATGGAGAGTGAAGTGGGTCTTTTTATAATAGTATGAAACAGAAGAAACAATAGGATAGCTTTACGAATACTTAGAATTGACAAAGTATAATGAGAAGGTGATGCAATAGCAGGTAATGTCGTTAACAATGGTGTTCAATAGAGTGTTTTCAGGAACAATGATGACAGTTTAAGAATTTTTAAGGGAGGGTGGTGATCTTAAGGATGATAATAAGACCAAAGTGGACAATGGTCAAGTATAACTTTAAGTTCATGTGATGATTTATCAAATTCAAATATCCAGCCAAAGGTGGTGCCTCCTATCACAATTTCTACAAGTTACTGATGTCTACAATGGTATATGGTTCAGAACCCGAGTTTTAATAAACCACATCGAAGTTATAAGTCAATTCGGTCCGTTGAATTGAGTCTCAATTAGATTTATTAAGATTATAAGTCAGATTCGAAGGCAAGGTGTGAGGGAGTATTCAGATAAGTGTATATTTTTATTCAAGTGAAACAATGTTATGAGGATAGAATGGTTTTGCTTTATTTATTTATGTGATAGAACTAATAATTCTTATCTCTCTACTACTTGGAACTGTAGTTCCTTAAATACATTTTAATCTTTAAAAACATATACACTGCTATTTCGGTGTTTACACTGAAATTATATCGTAGTTGTGGAGATTTGGGTATATACACTACACAAAAATAACGTACACACAAAAAATCTCAGGGCCAGTCTTTGTACGATTACGTATATGTGATTTTTTCAGTGTCTACGTGATTCATCTGATTTTCATACATCCATGTCACTAAGCCACCCATCATTACTATTTTTGTATAAGTTATGAAATCTTCAAAAGAAAATTAATAAATTTGCTATGATTAGGCATTGCTACCAAAACGGGTGGAGAAATTACAAATAGACTATGTACATGCGGATATTTCATCACGAAAATAAAAAATTTATTAGAAGCGTGGCAACTTAGTGAAGTGGTCAAGTTGTCGCACCCCCAAGTGGCACATCCAGAGTTCAATTCCCACCAACAAACGCAAAATCGAATTCTTCTATGCATTAATGACTATTTTGGGTGTTGGGATGGAGATCCTGTAACGATGGTAGACCAAATAGGTGCAAGGGATAATGATCACCTAACAGACGGCTTATTTTGCAAGCCCTAATCGGGGGTGGTAGTACAGACTTAGAAGATCTTGAGACATTAGTGCAATAGAAGAGTTACACAAAGGGATACAAACCGATAATAGGTGGTATAAACCCATGATAAGTCTCTGGGACCTGCGTAAATCTGTTGGACTTTGTCCTGAATAGAAATCTGCTTGGCAAGTCCCGAGTAGAGAGGTAGCACTAATTTCAATGGTTCTGGAAAGTCTGAAAAGAGAACCAATAAGCTATGGATCTGGACTAGGACCGGGTGTTTGACGAGCACTATACCAACCAGGCCGCTGGAATTGACCAGAGGAAAAGGGCACAGGCCGGTATCTGGGTTAAGCCAGTAGGAATGCAGGTAACGTAACTTGTAGACCAAACCGGGCTATCTGAATTGGAAGTTTGTTAAAACAGTGGAAGGGTTCCTGATTGGACGAGTAAGGGGCTGGGGTAGAGTGAACTCTATAAGGGCAGAAGTAGGTAACGGTAGCGGCTTTGGCTCACAAGTACTTGTTCTCGGACTAGACGTAAGTTACTGAAGCCTAGGTCAGCCTAAATGTGGGTATGGAAGGCTCTAGCAGGTTTACCTCGAGGTCAAAGGACTCCCTAAAATGGTAGAGACCACTTTAAAGCCCTAAGCCAGCATGTGAAAATAAGGTGGTACTAAGTATCATCGCTTGGATATAAAAGGGTTGGTACATAGGCACAGAGTGTTTAAATGGGTAACCCCTCTAGTGGGGTGCAGGTACGGCATCTAGTGTAGATCCTGATTATAGGCAGACTACTTAAATAGGTGCTCAAAAGGTGCAGATATGGCTAGTTGTACCCAACAAATATGTACAGCCATTAGGATATGTCTAATGGTTAAAAATACTACTAATATTCGAATAAAGAGCAGCGTGGCAAAGATGTCACCTTAAAACCAAAAAAAAAAAAAAAAAAAAAAATTTATTTACAATAACAAAATAATAAAAAAAAAGTAAAGTTTTTTAATTTGTTACACTGGTTTGTTAGGCGAAGTGAACGTTTTAAAGTGCTACTAAAACTAAACTTGGAGTCTAAAGCCAATCCTTGCACTTGTACTGCATTTGGTTTTCTAAATGTTAAGGTCCTTGCACTCCCACTGCATCCACAGAGCATAACTGGTAAGGCCCTTGCACTGCTACTGCAGCAAGGTCTTTGCAGTCGTGCAGTCTGATTTTACTTACCAATAATGCTGAAACGTTGAAACGCTAAAACGTTGAAACATTGAAACGTTGATACGTTGAAATGCTGAAATGCTCAAACTCGAAAATTTTTACTAAATAAGGGGAACGTCTAAAGCCGTGTCCAGTCACGTATTTTTTGTTTTTAATTAATTTAGGGTAAGGGTTAGTTTGGAGTTAGGGTCAATGTCTTATAGTAAAATTGTCTTCCCGACATTTTTTATTAATGCACCAAGATGGGTTTAGACTATCGTTTCTTGTAT